TGAAGCTTCATCAAACCAACGTCAAGTGATTTTATCTGTGAAAAACTGTTTTTCAGGTGGGTTTTTTTGTTACAGTACTGAGGCTAATGTCAGTGAACGAGGGGCATTCAGTCACTCTAAACGCTAATTTTGCTGAAATGAAGGATGGTGAATGGATTCAGTGGATATTTAGGTTTGGGAAAAAAAAAATTTTAGTAGCTGAAATCAATGTAACGGCCGACAGATTCACTGTATATGATGATCTTCTGATATCACTCAAGTGTCATAATTGTTATGGTACGTCAATGGCAATATTAATGTTTATTCACTGAGCTGATCTCAGTTTTGTGCTTTTATTCCTCAGACTCTGAAGCTGTGATCCGATTGGTCCTCTCTGCTCTGGTGGGCATGGCCACTGTCATTGTTCTGGTATATGACATCAGATCCAGAAAAGCCTAATCCCATGTGAAGAAACATTAGGCACAGTAGTGGCCTTTGCTATGTTTCACCCATTACACTTGAAACAGGCCTCGCAACAGTAGAAGTGTCCGCTTATGCTCGAAAAAGAGCTCCGCCGCGCATGCACCAGGGTCGGAAATTAATGGGGGCTTAGAGCAAAAATGCCTCCAAAACTGAATATATATAGGGCAAAAAAATCCCTGTGATTTCTTGTTTTTAATATTTATAACAAGATATAGAGTGTGTTTTCCCAAATATCAGCAGGATTGCAAATGTGATAGCCTTGATTTTATACCACCTTATAGCCTTATATTTTTTAGTTCAGTAAACAAGAAGCTAATATTAGGTCATTTAAACTTAGAACACTGGCAAAGACTTCACGCGAGGGCTACCGCGGTATGCTAACCAATTATATACTCACCTGATATGTCGTTATTGAATTCAGCATGCCACGCCTTACTGTTTAACAAACACAAATTCAGCGTGTGTTTACCATGGTAAACACAGCAAACAAAACAGTGTTTCCTAGCAATGACCCCTGTGCTCAAATCTGAGAAAAGAAACAAAAACACTGACAGTCTGCTGCCGCCTTCTGTTGCTTGACTGCTTCTCATAATGAGTACTTGCTAACTCTGTAAAAAAAAAAAAGTACTTTACCTGGCTTTGGCTACGCGCCTTACTACTAGGAAAAACAAAAATGAAATACCAAGTGGCAATCACGAGAACAAACACAACTTCAGCACGCATTTACCACCTTAAACACAGTAAGCAATACAATGTTTCCTAGCAATGACAACTGCGCTAAAATCGAATGAGAAAAGAAACTAAAACATAAAAAAATAAAAGCTCACAGAGACTATCTGGCAACAAGGTCACAATCAAAATCATCATTCCATGTATGTTCCAATACGCAAATCATGTTTTGCTCCAGGAGCCTTTTATTGACGTCGCTCTTTCTAATGTTTTTTGCAAGCTACTGGTGGTGGTTTCGTTCTCATTTACTCCTCTAGTTCAACTTGCTTTACTCTCTTGTCTAAATATTATTCAATATGCCTATCTTTAATATAACATTGTCTATCACAGCATGTCTAAAGCAACTTCACGATCTCTACATTTTTCTGTATTTTCCTGATGACAGGCAGACAAGCTGGAAAACATGAGAGAATAGAGATAAATGAGGATGAATGAAGATATTTAAGCAGACAAGGAAGAAACATTGAGAGGAACCACGACTGATCAAAAGTAGAGCATGTGACGGGATTTTTTAATTATTACTAACATTCCTTTTCCTTGCATTATATTTATGTGGTTTTGAACACTGAATGTCCCCAACACTTGGGCCAAAGCTAGTGTGTTGTAATAACAAATAAGGAAACAGAACTAGACAGCTGTCTAGGTTTGTGTATATATTTATCCTCATGACTTGAGTAGCAAGCTGAAGTATCAATGAATTCAAATAAAAATTAAACATAGAGAAACTCTTAAGAGTGAGACAACTTTATGAATAAAGGCAAGCAAATACATATGGCAAATGGACAGCAGTAGTAAGTGAAGTGAGAACTGTGTGTCTGAGAGAAATCTACACAATGATACCTTACAAATAAATACATTTAAAAATCTGAAATAGAGAGTGCAAGCTGACATAATCATCAGTATTAATAATGAAAAAACACTAAAAGAACAAAAGACACACTTGTAGAACCTTTAAAGTTCAGTGTTCTGCTATAGATTTCAATACATTCTGAAAAAGATGAACATATCAAGGCAAAAATTACACCATCAATCATGTACCTGATGTGTGAATATGTGCTTGATCTTGTTCAGATCTTCTGGATCCGATGTCATTAACCAGAAGAATGACAGTAGCCACGCCCACCATAGCAGAGAGGACCAATCGGATCACAGCTCAGTAGAACCACAACAGTGGACAGAATCTGAGGAATAAAAACATAAAAACTGTCAATAAATGCTAATATATGCAGTGCTCTCCTGAGCATGTGTGACAGAGTTGAGTGATGTTGAGATGTCTGGTCTGGTTGCTGATGGGATTGGGATGAGATCCTGATGATGATGATGATAATGATGATGGAGGCCTTCCAATCTCTGCTAAGATGATGCTTAAACAAGTCGTGTTCATCCAAGTCTCTATATTTCGCTCACAGAACAACCTCCCAGACAACAACCAATCTGGTTTCAAAAGTGGCCACATAATTGAAACTGCCCTGCTTTCGGTTATTGAAGCCATGAGACTGGCAATTTCAGCTTCCAAATCTTCAATACTCATCTTGCTGGATCTGTCTGCTGCTTTTGAAAGAGTCATGCACTCCAATGGTTCAAGTCTTACCTCTCAGGTAGGACCTTCAGGGTGTCTTGGAGGGGTGAGGTGTCTAAGTCGCAACATCTAGCTACTGGGGTTCCTCAGGGCTCAGTGCTTGGACCACTTCTCTTCTCAATCTACATGTCATCACTAGGATCCATCATGGTTTTTCCTATCACTGCTATGCTGATAACAAACTCTACCTCTCATTCCAGCTAGATGATCCGACAGTAGCTGCTCGCATCTCAGCCTACTGGATGGAGGAAAGACCATCACTTTCAACTCAATCTTGCAAAGACAGATCTGCTTGTGAAAGTGACGTGACGTGTGGCCAAATATGGTATCCCAGCACTTCATCACAACTTCTCCATTCAGCAAGGTTTGTCAACCATAACTCTTTCCAAGACAGCCAGGAACCTTGGAGTTGTGATCGATGGTCAGTTAAACTTCACAGACCACACTTCACTGCCCAGTCCTGCAGATTTTCCTAATACAAGATTAGGAAGATCAGGTCCGTCCTATTGGAACAGGCAACACAACTCCTCATCCAAGCTCCTGTTCTCTCCAGACTGGACTATTAATGCTCTCTAGTTAGGCCTTCCAGCATGTACTGTCAAGTCTTTGCAACTGATCCAGAATGCAGCAGTGAGAGTGGTCTTCAATACGCCAAATAGAGCACACATCACACCTCTCTTCATAAACTTGCACTGGCTGCCAGTAGCCACTCGCGTCAAATTCAAGACAAATGTTTGCCTACAAGAAACATTGGCTTCAGACGTGCCCTCCAGAAGCTTGTGTTATGTGAGTGAATGGCGCCTTGTAGTACCATCCCACAGAGGCACAAAATCACTTTCACAGACCTTTACCTTGTCTGTTCCTTGCTGGTGGAATGACCTGCTAACTCTATCTAAGCTGCTTAGTCTTTAGCCATCTTCAAGAAACGGCTGAAGGTGCCTCTTCAACAATAGACCCTTTATTACTAACATTTTCTATTCTATATGTCTATTAAAAAAAAAAAAAGCTTGCTATGTACATTGTGCTAGATTAGACTTGCACATTGTTGCCCTTTTGTTGGTTTGATTGCTTCTATTGTCCTTTTTTGTAAGTTGCTTTGGATAAACGTGTCTGCTAAATTATTACATTTAAATTTGCAAAACATAATTTAGATTCGCAAAACATTGGAAATCTCTTCTTTGTACTTGTGTTCATTAAATAAAGGTTAAAGAGAATTAACAAATCACATATTCTTGATTTTAATGCATGGCAAATGTGACATGATCCATTACATTATTGTTCTCCAATATGATTGGTTCTTCATATGTTAAATTCAGCAAACTTTCTTCTGTTACTATAAAGATACATTAGCTTGCTACTCAAGTCATGAGCTTAAATCTATATACAAACCTAGACAGCTGTCTAGTACTGTTTCCTCTTTAGTTATTACAACACATTAACTTTGGCCCAAGTGTTGGGGACATTTAGTTTTCAAAAACATATAAATGTAATGCAAGGAAAAGGAATGTTAGTGTGTGATCAATTAAAAATTTCCTTCACATGCTCTTCCTTCAATTTTGACCAATTTTGATCTGCTTGAATATCTCTATTCATCCTCCATTCTCTCATGTTTTCCAGCTCGTCTGCCTGTCATCATTCAAAAATACAGAAACAAATAGAGATTGTGAAGAAGAAATGCTGTGATAGATGATGTTACATTAAAGATATGCATATTGAATGATATTTAGAAGATACTAAAGCCAGCTAGAAATGCAAATGAGAAAGAAACCACCACCAGTAGCTTGCAAAAAACAAGGCATGAGTCCTACAGCAAAACATGATTTGCGTATTGGACAATACATGAGTTTGACCTGGGTTACAGATAGTCTCCGCAAGCTTTTATTACGTTTTACACATGCACATAAGATGATTTAAGTATTTTCAGACTTTTGGAAAACACTTGATTATTTCTAAACACCTGTTTATTTCTGCTGAATGTCCACTGGTTTTGACTTAAACTGCTTCAGACAACCTGTTTGCTGATCGCCTGAATTTTGCCTGTTCCTGGTTTTAAGTTTGAAGATGTAAGATCAGCAAAAGCTTGTTGATTTTCGTGATGTAAAAGAGGATGGACGTCTGAGAGTAAACTGTGATGGAGGTTAGGGGAGGATTCACGCACAACCAGATAAAGATCACCGTCCAGTCGTGTTTCAGACATTTTAATTGCTGCTTTCAAGAACCAATGAGGAAAATGGCAATCAAATTAATTTTGTTCTGTTTGTGTTTGTGGCATCTGGTTGGTGAGTTTTAAATGTGTTTTTATGGCTTCAGTTCTTTCTGTGAAAGATTCTCTAAATGGTGGCTCTAAAACACTGAAGCTCAAACAGCAGCAGCTTTAGTTTCAGTGTGACGTGATTCTCATCTGCAGTAAAAGTGTTTTCTGTGTATGATGTTGTGTGGAGCTCAAATCAACTTCATCAGTAAATGGGTTTCATTCAGAATCACCACAAAGATGCAATTATTAATCGTTTTTGTAGTTTGGAAATTGATATCAAATGTAATTTTCATACAGTTTACATTAGTAATCCATCATACAGTTATTAAAAGATCTATCATTTAAACAGAAGACTCTTGTGTTTGTTCTTCAGGTGTGTTTGGTGATTCAGATGAAGTGAGGTCAGTGTCAGTGATGGAGGGAGATTCGGTCACTCTAAACTCTAGTCTTACTGAAATACAGACAGATGATGAGATCGAGTGGAGGTTTGGACATACCAACTTACTCATAGCTGAACTCAGTATGAAGTCCAGTATGATCCTTTTGTATGATGGTGATGACGGGAGATTCAGAGACAGACTGAAGCTGGATCATCAGACTGGATCTCTGACCATCACAGACACCAGAACCACAGACTCTGGAGTTTGTACAGTAAACATCCTCAGCGGAAGCAGAGAGATCAGATACAGATTTAATGTTACTGTCTATGGTAAGTAACAGTTACAGTGTCGTTTGTGCTGCCAGCTTCCTACTAATAATTCTCTTTAGGTGTATTTACACAAATAATTATTTCATAAACATTTATAAAAACAAACCATTTAAGATCCCATGCACAGTCTTTCTCCTTATGTTTTTAAATAGTCTTTCATTTTGAATGACATTTTCCTCTCTGACAGTGTAATCTTTTTAAATATGAATCTATTATAAATCTTGAGAAATGAAGGCTAACAGTATCAGCATTAAAACACACTGATTCTCAATAAAAACATTCAAAACAGCCTCTTAATTACTGTTACTTGCTCTTCATTTATTCTCTCGTGTTTTCAGCTCGTCTGCCTGTTCCTGTCATCAGCAGTGACTCTTCAAACTGTTCTTCGTCATCATCATCATCATGTTCATTGGTGTGTTCAGTGGTGAATGTGAGTCATGTGACTCTCTCCTGGTACAAAGGAAACAGTTTATTGTCCAGCATCAGTGCGTCTGATCTCAGCATCAGTCTCTCTCTACCTCTGGAGGTGGAATATCAGGATAAAAACACCTACAGCTGTGTGCTCAACAATCCCATCAGCAACCAGACTCAACATCTGGATATCACTCAACTCTGTCACACATGTGCAGGTACGGCAGTTCATTATGTGGCTTTCTGGAATACGTGATCCTGATTGGTGAATAGCGGCATTCAAATATTGTCTCATAAACACCGCTGTCCATAGCAACACGATTTTGCCTTGACTTTTATTATGTCTCTTGTATCACAGACTTGCACTCTCTTGATTCATATGTGCTGACCTATCAAGTTGTGGTTTAGTTATTTGGAGAGTTTTTAAGCAGGCATGAAGAGGCCTCTAGATGGGGGGTAGACAGCATTGTTCTGTCTGATCGTGTTTGTTCGCCCAGGTTCGCCATTTTAAGGGCAAAATGCTTCCAGCACTGACGGGCGCTTTTTAGAAACAAGCTTTGTAACCTTTGTTTGGAACCAGTGATTTGGAGCGCGTATCAAAGAGCCAAAGACTGTTTACTTGAGTGATGTAACAGTTTTCATCTTGTTCTGTTTGTTCTTCAGGTGTGTTTGGTGATTCGGATGACGTGAGGTCAGTGTCAGTGATGGAGGGAGATTCGGTCACTCTAAACTCTGGTCTTAATGAAACACAGAAAGCTGGTCGGATATTGTGGACCATAACGTTTAAACCGAACAACTTGCTCATAGCTAAACTCAGCAGATCGCACAGTATGATCTCTATATATGATGCTATCGATGAGAGTTTCAAAACTTTATTACATTATGCCGAGCGCCCACTGGAGGAATACTAACTTTATGTATTTTATTATAATTTTCAGTAAAGCGCAACATATAGAGCTTTACATCATTACATTATTGTTAAGCTCAATACTTTTTTTAAATGTACTATTCAATTGTCATTTGTTTACTCTGTTTACTATTTGTATTAATGCACTGCCTATTTTTTCTTTATGGAATCATAACATTGCATTTTTTGAAAATAATAATAAATGTAAAATAAATTTAAAAATGTGTATTATCTTCTTTAAAATAATCCTCATTGAGGATTTAGATCGATAATATTTAGCCAATGTAAATTTATTTTTCATTTGTTTCAATTTAGTTTCAATATTTCTGAAAAATTTATAATTAGGTTGTCTATTATTGGTGGCATATGAATTCACAAGAGTATAATGAGTATGATTAATATTGACATGGAATATTATCATTCTTCCCAACCTATCTGTTTCATGGCTTAGGACCTGACCCCTGGAATGTCCTTTTAATATAGTGACCCCTGCAGATCTATTGCAATCTGAAAACCATATGTCATTTACTGAGCATGTTATGGCTCACTTTATTTCTGTTGAAAATGACGCCACTGAACAGAAGAGGAAGCTGTGGTCTACTGGAGCTTAAAGCGGCAAAGTTAACATGTTGTGAAATGACCAAAAAAGAGCTGGATGTTCCCACACATCAAGTTGTGCAGTTATTATAGCTGACTGACAGTAGAGTTTCTCATGACTTTACTACAGAGCAGCCTCACATCAGCTCATCTGTCATTTTATTACTGAACCAGTTCTGAAGAGTTTGTCTTTTCATATTTGTGGACTGAAACCGTTGAAGATGTTTGACAGATTTGGCTTCTGTTTGTGTTTGTGGCGTCTGGTTGGTGAGTTTTTATGGCTTCAGTTCCTTCAGATTCAGTGTTTGTTTGTTTTTTCTTCTAAATGTTCTTTATATAAATCACTGAAGCTCAAACAGCAGCAGCTTTAGTTTCAGTGTGACGTGATTCTCATCTGCAGTAAAAGTGTTTTCTGTGTATGATGTGTTCAGATGTTTTACATTTTAAACTGTCTTTATTAAGTTATGTAAAAATCTTTTTTCTTTATGTTCTTCAGGTGTGTTTGCTGATGCAGGTGCAGTGACATCAGTGTCAGTGACGGAGGGAGATTCAGTCACTCTAGAATCTGGTGTTACTGAAATACAGACAGATGATCTGATAGCATGGACCTTTGGACGTCCAGAGACTCTTATAGCTCTAATCAATAAAGAGGAGGTCATTTTCTCTTCATCTGATGGTCCTGATGGGAGATTCAGAGACAGACTGAAGCTGGATCATCAGACTGGATCTCTGACCATCACAAACACCAGAATCACAGACTCTGGACTTTATCAAATAACCATCAGAAGTACAAAACCGACCACATATAGATTCAGTGTTACTGTCTATGGTGAGTCACAACTACAACTTCATTTGTGCTGCAAGATGCATGAAAAAACATTTTATGAATCAAAGTAAAAAAATCACACGTTTTTTTTCTTCTTTTCTTTTCTTTCTTTTTTTCTTTACTTTTCTTTTCGTTTCTTTTCTTTTTTAATGATCTTTAAAAACATTTATTCAGATACCATAAAAATGACAAAGGTGTTTAGTGCAAAGACAAAATATTTTTGACATCATGTCATCTTTAGTGTCAGATGGATGGATGCCCTTTATTGGGCTTCAAAATCTTGACCCCCATTCACTGCCATTATAAAGCTTGGAAGAGCCAGGATTTTTTTTAATATAACTCTGATTGTGTTCATCTGAAAGAATAAAGTCATATACACCTAGGATGGCTTGAGGGCAAGTAAATCATGGGGTAATTTTCATTTCTGGGCGAACTAACCCTTTTAAAGCTACAGTCTGTAACTTTTTCTGATAATAGTAACAAATATATTAATGAGAGATAGTAAAAAAATATATATATTTTTTTTTCAATTTTCCAAACCATCTCTTCCCAAAACCAAACAGTCAAAAAAGAAATCTCCCTTGCCATTGGTCAGTTTTTCGCGGGCAAGTTCACTACTGTAAATTGATTTACAGTAGTGAGGAAATACAGTAGTGACCGTATATTTTTCCCATAATCCTTTGCTGTTTACAGTAACTGTCTGTATACACATTTTACAGTATCTTACTGTACATATTACAGTATAATACTGTTCAAATTACAAAAATCAGTTACAGTGTATCAGTGTTTGTTTTTGATTTTCTCCTCTTTAGTGCATTGCGGTCAAAACTGTTTATATTTATTTATATGTCTTTTTAGCAAGGTTTGCACAGCACTATTGTGCTTTATAAATAAATTTTGATTTGATTTAATTTGATTTATTCTCTCATGTTTTCAGCTCGTTTGCCGGTTCCTGTCATCAGCAGAAACTGTTCTTCATCATCATCATCATCATCATCACATCAGAATTGTTCACTGGTGTGTTCAGTGGTGAATGTGAGTCATGTGACTCTCTCCTGGTACAAAGGAAACAGTTTATTGTCCAGCATCAGTGTGTCTGATCTCAGCATCAGTCTCTCTCTACCTCTGGAGGTGGAATATCAGGATAAAAACACCTACAGCTGTGTGCTCAACAATCCCATCAGCACCCAGACTCAACATCTGGATATCAGGCGTGGCTACTGTCATTCTTCTGGTTTATGACATCAGATCCAGAAGAGCTGAACAAGAGGTGTGTTTGGCTAGAAGTAGCACTGCGCAGGCCGATGAGTGATCGAAGAGCGATTCGAAAGCATAAGAAGCCGTCTGCTCTCTACGGCTCTCGCGGTACTTTGATGTCATACACCGATCGGTCTGCGCAGCGCGGCTTCACATCGAACACACCTAAGATCAAGCACAGATTCACACATCAGGTACATGAGTGAGGATGTCATCTCTCACAAAATGCTGCATATATAAATATTTGTGAGATTAATGTATAGCTTTATTTTTTTGCAATCTAAAGCAGAACGAGAAGTGCATTTTTGTTCTTCTAGTGTTTTTGTCATAATAAATATTTGATGATTATTTGAGCTTACGCTCTCTCTATTAGTGTCAGATATTTAAAATATAGGTTATTGTTTGTATTTCCCTCAGATACATTGCTGTTCAACATTTTGTTTGGATTATTTACTATAGCTAGGTTTGGTTGATCATGTGATCTGTGTAACCATGTGGTTCCTTATATTAAGATGGCTCCTGCATTAGACTTGAAGCAGCGCTGCGCAGACGGATCGGTGTATGACATCAAAGTAAAAGTAAAAGTAGACTTGTTTGAGATGAGCCTAGCCTCGCCTGAACTTTAGCAAAGACTATAGAAAACCCAAGACGTGTCACTCGTATAGTTTTGAATGGGGAAAAATGCAACGCTCAATATGGCCGCTCTATCAAAGGAAGCCCCGCCTTCTGAGTAAAAGAGCCAATCGCTAATCAGTAAAGTCATTGCATCACTGCAGCTGCTGTTAGAAGCCCTGGTTGCTATAGAAACAGTCAGCGTTCTGAGACGTGCGCTTAGGTCTGGCACTGGCTGCTCTAGCCTGAAAAATAAGATTTTTTAATGCTATTTGAGCAAAAGAAACAACATTTATGAGACAGTTGTTGACAGATTTCATTGGTGATTTCAAATATGGAATTTAATGGTAAGCTTGGCGAACAGTTTTGGAGAATTTAATGTAAAAGTATAGATATAAATATATAGGAGCTGCACTTGCATGCCCGAGAGACGTTTCAAAGATGGCCGCTGAGTGAAATGACTTGCCTAAAGGGACTTTGACTTTAGGCAAGAGTTAGGGCTGCAGTGAGGAGAGGAGTGAAATAAGCGCAGTCAAGACGGACAGTTCTGACTTCTCAAAGTAGAGACCAAGGGTGAACATCGCGTTATTCACACTCATGCGCTGTGTTGCTAATAAACATGATAGAATTTCAGTTCTGTTGCTTTTATATGAAAGTAAATATGATGAAAATGACACTCAAAGTACTTGCTATTTAATTCCATAATTATTCTGTAGACTATTTATCATCCATTTTTACTTTAATACAGTTATTTTAGAATTTTTAGAAATATGACAACAATCACATATCTCACACAAAGATCGCACTGTCATACTGTTTGAGAGTATTCATGCATAATTTAAACTCATAATTACATGATATCAGATAAAAAAGAAAACATTTGAGAAGAGAACGTAACATCACGCTTGTTTGAACC